ATGCTATAACTTTTAAATTAGTAAGCGATTGTTAACAAAATTTGGTAGAGTTTCAGTAGATATTACAATGCTTTTATATGCAAAATATCATATTTATTATTAAATCATAAGGTTTGTAAAGCAATGTTTTTCTCATGTCTATTTTTCTTTTCACATGTTGCCTATCTATCATGTTTTTAACTTTTACATGCAAAATCTCTATAATGTTCAGATAGTTATCAAAAGCTTCATTAGAAAAACTTTATATTTTATCTGTTATTTTCAGTAATTAATCTCTGTACGGGTTCGGTAGATTTGACCAATCTCGCAACCATCATAAAAAATTTGGAAATGAATATAAATTATGCCTCTTTCATTCTAGAATGAACATTATAAGAACATTATATAGAATTATAACACAAAAACATAAATGTTTAGACTAAATAGCTCAAATCTCATAACATTTTACATTTATATATGTTTATTATTTTTATTATATTGAGCTGTGCCTGGCTAACAATACAGAAGTTAAAATGATGCGGCTCATGTGCAATCATGTTACTTTATCAAATAACATAAACTGACATTTGGTCTTTGCAAAGTAACTTGTTCTGCCTATGTTTTAGTAGACTAGTATTTTGTAAAATATAGTCACATTTCAATTATTGTACATTAATATGTATATAGATTATTGCTATTTTGTAATAAGCTCTTAATCATATTTTTTCTAAAACAGAATAGTAAATAAAGATGTAAAGCAAACAATTATATCTTCTAGTTATGACCTTTGTACTTGGTAGCTGCTTTACGTAGGTTGCTAAGAATTTAAAAATTTTGCACGTGGAGGATATGAAACAAAATATTATTTTTAGGTTTTATATATACAGATACTAAAAAATCATGAATTACTACATTAATACCATAGAATTCCACTATAATTTATAAACATTATTAACTAAGATGTATTTTAGTCTAGAAAATATGAAATTTTGAGCAGACTAAAGACATACTCTACCTCATTGAAATATTGGTTCAAAAGAAAGAAATGGTGCCAAGTCCATTAAAATGGCTCAGAAAGCCGTTAGGGGGACATTCTAAGATTCCAATTGGTTATTTATGTCATATATAGAAGTCAGTGTATATAAGGGAGCATTTCCAAAAATGGAAAGAGGTGGACGGGGTCCCACTGTGTTTGATTTATTACATGAGCAATAACGATAAGAGGCTCTTATTTTATATTCTAGCTTGTCAATATTGATAATTTGAGTTTCTAATTCATTCAAAACTATAGATTTAGTATTTTGATTTCACAAACATCTAATTTAAATTAGTGCTGCATTCAACATACCACGTGACACAAAAAATTCAATGTTTATCTGTGTTTTTAATATTTGCTTTTAAATTAAGAAATTGAGTAATATATAGTACTAAAATTTGAATTATAATCTACAGTTTGATACCAAACTTATTGACAAATTCATATAATAGTAGTTCAATAAAATTTTGAACTCGTGGCAATAAGCGAGATTACATGGCCTTTCACCCATGACCCGTCTTAAAAGACTGCGGAATGTTGTGAAGATATACCCAATATATTGAGAGTTATAAGTATTAAATTCATAAAGACTTTAAACGAGTAAAAATTATCATGTGACTTGGTCAAAATGACCGACCTCGTAGTGAGAGAGTTAATGTGAACTCCAGTATATGGGAAGAAATAAAACAAAATGAAGATTTTCCAAATTTTTCTGTGGGAGCATGCCTTCGGATTCGCCTAGCATGCTGCATACCTTCTATACCTAGCATTATATACAAAATATTTTAGACTATGTCTCCATTCTCACTTTCAAACTAAAGAAGTAGATATCTGTATAAATGTGTGTGTGTGTGTATATCAAAGTTGTCTATCTGTCCCCAAAAGATCAAGCAGTCAGACAAATAGTTTTTGCTTGTTAGCTATTTCAGCTCTTTACCTTGTTAATGCTACAAATGAGCCCTTAGCTGAGTGAGAAGATTGGTAGCAAAGTATGCCAAGCCAATGCCAAATGAAAATGGCATTTGATGCTGCTTTGTACAAATAATTCATATGCTTTGACTGAAAATAGTTGAAGGATCCAGTCTATGTCCCCATTTATTTTAAGTCCAGCATTACCAGGTACCTTTGCTAGTAAAATATATGAATATAAATTTAAATATTTTATAACTTTTTTTGTTAACTTTGGTTATCAAGCAAAAGGTTTGTTGACCTCAGTTTACTAACCCTTATGATAAAAAAAGCTAAATATTTGACATAGTAGAGTTCATTTTAAACAGATCTTGAATAAATTAATAATAATATATTAGGTCATCAAGAAATTAATGTCACTTTGTTTTAGATGAAAAAAAGTTAAACAACTTGTATCAAAACAAAACAGTTATTAAATGAAATAGTCTCCATTCTTATCGACGATGCTTTTCCATCTTACAATCAGGTTGTTAATGCCCTGATTAAAGAAATCACTTGGCTTTGAAGCAAAAAAACATGTTGGTGCACACTTGCATACGTTTTCCCATTAAGATGGTGTTGCAATGAACAAAAAAGATGGTAATCTGATGGTGCCATACCTGGAGAATATGGTTGGTGGGGGAGAACTTCTCAACCCAAATCCATAATCTTGTGTTGCGTCAGACGTGCCACATGTGGATGTGCATTATCATGGAGAAGAAGAACACCTTTCTGATTGACAAGTGAAGGGCATTTATGATGAAGGGCTTGATTTAAATATTCTAGTTTCTAACTAAAGATCTCTGCATTGACAGTTCGCTGTGGATTGAGGAATTTGAAATGAATTACTCCTTTGTCCCACCAAATGCAATGCATCACTTTCTGCAGGTGGAATCCAGATTTTGGGGTTGGAAGTGGTTTTTGTCTAGGACTGAGCCATTGTTTTTGGCATTTAATATTCACATAGAGAATCGATTTTTCATCACTGGTGTCAATCCTGTCCAAAAATGGTTCATGTGCATTACGAGCCAGAAGAGACGAAGTAACGTTCACATGTTGGAAACAGTGATCATTGAAGAGTTCGTGAAGTACCCAAACACCTTCTTTATGGAGTTTTCCCATATTCCTTAGATTTTTACGGATTGTTTCATGAGAGACATACAATTTCACGGCCATTTCACGAGTGTGTTGCCTTGGGTTACACTCAACAAACATCTTCAGAGTATCAATATCAATTCCAAGATGTCAGCCCCTGCCATCATAGTTTTTAAGGTTAAAGTCATCTGAATGAAATTTGCTGAACCATCGTTGCCACTCACTATTGTTCAAGACATTTCCATAAACTTCTTTGATATTCTTTGTGGCTACAGAGGTATTGTTTCCCTTTATGTATTCAAATAGCACTAGATGCCGAAGGCGTGTCTTGTCGTGTGTCATCACTATAAGGGATTAGAGTATACTAAACTTTACACATTATATAGGCTACACTAACTTGATGTTTAGACAGTTCATTTAACTATTATACATGATGAACATTTTTCTTGAGGAGGGGGGTAATGAAAATGTTCCAAAACACGACATTAATTCTTGACGACCTAATATAATAATAGTTTATTGTCTTAACATAACATACTACAAGAAACCATTAGTCCTTCAAGGCTGTCCTTGCACACCCACCCTTTATTTTTAGGGAAAACATTCATTCCTCTCTTAAATTCATGTAAAATATCGGCCTCCACAACTTATTCCATAAGTTAAAAAAAAAAACTAAAATAGTACCTAGTCTTTTTCATGTTTTAAGTTTGTATTCTCTCATCTTATGATCTTCAGAGTATAGCACTAATAAATCAGAGGATTTTATTCTATCAATGCCCCTGAATAATCTTGTAAACTTCATTATTGTGATGGTTATTTTTTGTATCATAGTAATTGAGTTAATTTTATTGAGACTGTGTTCCATTTGTGCATAAGTTTTTTTTTCAGAAAATTATAGACTTATTTTGTTACTCTCTGTTAAATACTTTCTTGAAAAAAATTGGAATTCAGCTGTGGAAACCTTATTTTAAAGAAGAACCACAGGAAATGGAAAACTTTCAGAAGTCTTGATATTAAGAAAAACTAGTTTAAACACAGTTGTGTGTCTTCTTAATGGGAGATACACGGGAGCACATGAATGTGTCAAAACTAGTTTCTCTAATACCAAGACTTTCGATGGTTTGTTCTAGCTACTGTGGTTTTTTCACTAACTGCCCACACACATGATTTTGTGTTCTTTTATTCTTTATTTTGTTTTTATCTGATTTTTGTTTCTTTAGATAATTCAGATCTAGTATTTTGTTCCTTCTGATGATTGTTTTATTCTGGATAGTTAGTGTGTGTAGTATTTTGATTATACATTAAAATCTGTTTTCTACTTTCAGTCCACTCCTCTACACCTAGCATCAGGGTACAACCGAATTAGGATTGTTCAACTACTCCTGCAGCAAGGAGCTGATGTACATGCAAAAGATAAAGGGTAACATTTATTATACATGTTTCGTTGTTTCTATAAAGCAACAGAATTATGTCATGTAATTAACCCTCAAATACTGACTTGTTTTTTTTCTGCCATTCACTACCAGTGGGTTGCCCATATTGCATAATATTGAGTAATTTTATGTTTTTCCTCTTATAACACTTAGTGTAAAGAACTGATAATAAAAAAAATTGGTGAAATCATAATTTTCTATGTTAAATATTTAGAGGACACCAACAGTAATTAGCGGAATTGATTTCATTATTGGTGTTATTTTTGTTTACATTTTTTATGCTATTAGAAATTAGCCATGGACTACTAAAAATAATATTCAGTTTATTTTGTTTTCCAGTGGGTTAGTTCCATTGCACAATGCTTGTTCCTATGGTCATTTTGAGGTCACCGAAATGCTTATTAAGGTGAGACATTCTAAATGCATATACAATGTAATCTTCCTTGTATTTCTAGTAAAAGTTATTCTCAGTTATTAATTATGTAATTATAATTTACCAAAGTATCAATACATTAATGATTCCTTCTAACTTCATAGTAGTTGATATTAACATAAGTAAGATGTAGGAAAGGTAAGTCTTTCTAATATTATGTAACTTGATATATTTTTACAGATCTTAGATATTTATGCTCTTTTTAATGTAGAAATAAGTGTACAGATTAGTTGTTTTATATAAAACTGAACAGAGTAGAACAAAATTAAGCAAAAATAGTTCACACACTGTCCTGTTGGCTAGATTCTAACAAACTAACTATTATCTAAATTGCTGTTAAAATGTAGTTTAAACAACTAAGGTATATGAAGGAAATGGTGAAAACAAAGTTACAAACTTTAAAGAATGTCATTTTGACATCTTTGGTTATAATGAGACCATTCTGTTGTCATTAAAAATTTCAGGTCATATCACTCTTCATATTTGTAAATATACAACTTGAATTTTCTCTGTTTGTTTGTTTTACATAATCTTTCTTTTGGAATAAATAGGTAGGACACCACTTTCTTGTGTAACTTTTATATGTGTGCCAATGTAGGTAATTCTAGCAAGCTGGTCTTTTCATTTATTTGTACAGTAGCAATCAAAATCTTTGTTCTCATTGTCCTCAGCATGGAGCCAATGTAAATGCCATGGATCTGTGGCAATTTACTCCCCTTCATGAGGCAGCATCGAAATCTAGAACAGAAGTGTGTTCTTTGCTCTTGAGCCATGGGGCTGACCCAACGATGCTAAACTGCCATTCTAAGAGTGCTGTTGATGTAGCCCCATCTCGAGAACTTCAAGAAAGACTCTCTTGTGAGTATAGAACTTATTTTTTATTTATAGTGGTGTGTGTGTGTGTGTGTGTATATATATATATATATATATGTGTGTGTGTGT